TCTCCTTCTAATTAGTTTTGTGACCTCAGGCAACTAACAGTCATTGCATGGCTTAGCTTCCTTAACTAGAAGAATAACGTTGTTGTTGGCAGTCATTTGATCAGCCCAGGACACATGATTACACTATGCATAATGGGATAGAAGGCTACCTGGTCCTACACCAACCCCATGATCAGTTAGTTGCAAATGGGACCAGTGAGACCCATAGGGTTTTCATTGGCTTATGTTAGAAAGTAGATCTCCAGGCCTTTTCTTCTACTCCACCTTAGACTGGAAGCTCAGCTGAAACCTGTTCAGCATCAGAGCATCATGCAAGCCTCTACTGACAGAGGGCTGGTGGCTATGGATGAGATGCATTGGGCGGAGGCTGGAATGGGGTCTTCTGCATGAAAGGTAAGAATTCTACCACTGAACCAACACTGCTCTTGGAAAGATAACAACTAATTCATAATTAGTTGTTGTGGAGTTTATAAGCAATAATACAGGAAAAACATAGGATATAGTAGCAGTTGCTCAGAAAACATTAGCTACAACTCAGTATGCTCAGAGGATCTAACCAAAACATCCACAAATTGCAGGTGAGTAAAACATAAAGAGATTTACGTCAAAGAAAGATTCCTTTAGTTTTCTGACTCACAAAGCTTTGTGTACCATAAAATACTACTGAAACCCTAGGACTCAATTCCCAAATATTTAAGTTATTTTTACTCAGAACACTTCTTAAGCTGCTTCTTCTAACCCCTCAGAACTCTCATAAACTGAAGGCAATGCTGAGGAGTAGAAGGACCTTACAACCGAAAGTGTCAGGAGATGATGGATCTCCTTTTCTGAACTCTTCCCCCTATTACAGATTTGAACTCATATACTTTGTTGGCACATCTGAAAGAAGCACTGTCCAAAGGGGGGAAAAAAAAAACATAATGTGAGCTACAAATACAGGTTACACATTTAATTTTACACTTACTGGTGAACCGAAAAAAAAAAAAAAAAGAAAACTCAGTGCCATCTAGTCATTTTCAACTCATACCAACCCTTTGGTAATGGTCATGCAAATAGATTGCTCCATCTTCCTTCCACAGAGCAGCTGGTGGATTTGAACCACCAACCTTTTGGTTCTCAGTCAAATAAATGCCTTAGGCACTGAACCACCAGAGCTTCTTAAACTAACTGATAGCCACATTTAAAAAAAAAAAAAAAGGTAAAAAGAAATAAACAAATTAATTTTAATAATATGTTTTATTTAACATGTTGTTGTGTGCCATTGAGTAGATTCCAACTCATAGTGAGATTTATAGGACAGAGTACTACTGCCCCATAAAGTTTTCTAGGCTATAATCTTTATGGGAGCAGATCACCAGGTGGGTCTGTACACGGGCCCTTTGGTTAGCAGCCAAACTCTTAACCATTGCACCACCAGGATTCCTTTTTGTTTGATGTTAATATAACCAAAATTTATCAATTCAACATGTAATCAACATAAAAAGCATTAATGATATATTAAATTTTTTTCCCTGTATTGAACTTTCACAATCTGATTCAGAGCTGTTGTGTCAACCTAAGCTAGCCTCATTTCAAGTGCTCAGTAATCACATATGGATAGCTGCTACCAAACTGTGTGGTGTGGGTCTAGAGATCACCAGAGAGATACCAACAATGACTTTCTACAAAATATGATAAACTGGAAAGATGATCATTGAATTTGTATGGCTTATGGAAAACTGAGTTTAAAAGTTGATTTGACAGTATATTTGTAACAGTAACAACATGTAATTTATTTACTTAAAATGTTTAAATGTCTCCTCTCATTGTATGTATCATACTTAGCTTTTTTAAAAAAATGACAATGGAAGAATATTTACCAAGTAAATATTTTGTAGAAGTATTATGACAAGTAGTAGAACTTAAGATTGACTGAAATAATGTAAAATTATGCACAAAAAAGCATCGTAAAATATGAATGTCACTTAACATGAATTAGCCAGTTGCTACTGAGTTGATTCCAATTCACGGTGACCCCGTGTGTCAGTAGGACTGTGCTCCACCGTGTTTTCCATGGTTGATTTTTCCCAAGTAGATCATCAGGCCTTTTTTTCTCAGCCCCTTTGGATGGACTCGAATCTCAAACCTTCTGATTAGCAGTCAAGCAAGCACATTAACAGTTTGTACCACTTAGGAACCCTTTATACGAATTACCATCCTTTTTCTTTTTTTATATTTTCTACTTGCTTTCTTAAAATCTGTATGAAATAGACCTCATCTCTAGGGCATTTTGCTTTAATGCTTATATCACCTCCTTTACAAATTAATCTAAGTTAAAACTAGAATAAACCAGAAAAACCAAACTCATTGCCTTCAAGTCAATTCTGACTCCTAGCGACCCTAACAATCCTACAGGGCTTCCAAGGCTGTAATCTTTACAGAAATAGACTGCTGCATCTTTCTCCTGCAGAGCAGCTGATGGATTTGAATGACTAGTATTTTGGTTGGTAGCCAAGTGCTTAACCACTGCGACACCGGGGCTCCAAAAACTAGAACAGACTGCTAGACTTCTGCAGTGTACAGCAAAGAGAAACTGGATTCCTGAAGAATGAAAACTGCACAAAGATATTAAAATGTCCCCATGCATTGTTCAGTTTATAGTTCCTGGGAGTTTTCTTTCTGAAAATTTCCAAGTTTTGTCCTTCAGATTAATTTGTTAATACATAACCTAAATATCAATGTGCCCATGTTTCATTGGTCCCATTTCTACTTTTCTTGTTAATGAAATGGAAATGAAATAAAACCCCATGGATGAGACTCTGAGACTGGAAATAAGAATGAGACTAAACTGACAGTACTATTTGGTTTGGCCAGACACTCTAATAGGAAAGTACAGCAGCCAAGAAAATATTTTGGAAGAAGGACAAATTTAACATTAATTTTGACTGTGGTGTCACTAGAAAGGTATGCATTTCAGAAGACATGTCAGAACATCCTAGTTTGGGAAATGGTAGAGGGAAGGAAGAAAGTACATTTCAGTTGACGACAGCTTCCACTTCCTCCACATATATTATCACCAGAATTTATAAATTCTCATCATTCCTTCTCTCAACTGTGACCAAACAATTTTACATCTGACATCATTTTATAGAATGGTCTGCTTCAGTGCTCTCAGACAAGACAAGCCATAAAAGACCCAGGAAGGGCACCAGACCACCTTGCATAATCCCTACCGGAGAGTGAAAATGTGTACAGAGGTGAAAGTGCCATTCCAGGTGCAAGAACAGCACAACAGCCCAGCATAGCATTTGAAGGAAATAGGAAAGGGAGAGAAGTATAAAGGAAAACTTTCAGAATTCATGGGGGTATTCTGACAGGTGTCAAGAAATTTAAAAAATCAGATATCCCAGAAGGCTGACCTTAGGAAAGAAGTTTGCCAGTAAGTGGTGAGGCTACAAAAAGCCATGGTAGGGTTCTCAGGAGGCCTAGTTAATGAGAAGGGGAGGTAGCATAATACATATTGACTATCTGCCTAGAGTAGGGGTTTTTAGGTGGACTGGTTGTCCACAAACCCCAGATGAGCTTCAGAAGGACCTCTAAGTCCTATAAAGCTTTATCAGATTCTCAGAATGTCAAATATGTAGGAAGATCTGAATCTGTTCTAGGGGATTTAGACCTTAGTTATTCAGCAAACAGACTTAGAGTTAATGCTGTTAAAAGTTAAATTCCTGAGTCTGAGTAATGGTCTAGTTGAAGGGTTTGTCTTATAAACTTGCCAAGTACCTAAAAACTCACTGCCGTGGAGTTGATCCTGACTCACAATGACCTTTCCTTAGGTTTCCAAGGCAGTATCTCTACAGAAGTAGATTGCCCTGTCTTCCTTCCAAGGAGTGTCTGGTAGGTTTGAACCTCCAGCCTTCTGGTTAGCAGTCAAATGCCTTAGGCACCACACAAACAGTGGCAAGTACTGAGTTTACTGGAAAAGTCAGGTGGCATCAGAGGAAGGGAGAGGAGCAAAGTCCTGGGAGCAACTCAGAGCCTGATAACTGTGCCGTCTCCATTCGGTCTCAGTTTCCAATTATAATCAGAGCATCATTAATGAGTTTCATTGAGAAAGTGAATTATGTCAAATATATTTTTAAATTTATCTTCCTTTCTTGTCACTACATTCACGAAAATAATAATAGTCACTTCCTTATCAGAGCTCTGGTGGCATGGTGCCTGAGGTATCTGACTGCCAACCAGAAGGCTGGTGGTTCCTCGGAATGGCCACCAGCCATTCCTTGGAAGATAGATTGGGCAATCTACTTCCATAAAGATACTGCCTCGGAAACCCAAGGTGGGGTCGCTATGATAATAGAGTTCTTCTGATGGCAGTGAGTTTTGTTATGTTTTTTTGTTTCTTTCTTATTATAAACAGATTTTTTTAAAGACTGGTATAGAAAGAAAAGATTCCTTAAATTAGATATTTAATTACTTATGCATTTACTGTCTTTGTCCTCACAACTCCTGGGAACTGAGCTTAAATAACAGAAGATCGTTTGACTCACCTCTTTCCATCACAGATGAAGTCTCATAAAGATGTGTACCCAGGCAATATTGTAACATATTAGTGTATTACTTGGGGAAAAAATGCTAAGAAAATGATGTAAGCTTATAAAGACCAGCCACCTGTTCTTTTTTACACTGCTGTTTACATTAGGGAATCCACAACTTTTTACAGTGACTTAGGGAAATAAATGACTTCATAGGAAAATCAGGCAGATTATAACCTTGAAAGGAAAGAGGGTGGAACAGAAAAAGGAAAAACAGCCTTAAGTTTTCTTTCTTTACCTAAAGGTTCGATAAATGGCTCCCTTTACTGCTGAGGTGTATTCATTTATGTATATATAACATATATCCTTTTATTTCTTAAAAATTCATAAATTTCAACATAAAATAATATATATATATATATACACACACCTTTTTTTAAGTAGGATGTTGGTGACTTATTGTCTCATACAGAAATTGTAACTTACCGGTTCAACAAATTCAAATTTCTTTTTTTCTTGAACCTCTTGAATTTTAAAGACATATTCTAGTGATGCTTCATAGAAGTTTTGATGTTCTCGGTCAATCTGTGTATCTGCCTAAAGAATCAAAAACAGGCAAATCACAATACAGGGAGTGATTAGGGAATTTATTTTCTTTTTTTCTAGAATGTAGAGAGGAACTCAAAACTTCCTCTACTCAGAAATCTTTATTAAAAAAAAAAAAAAAAACAAGCAAGCACACACATTTGTTACCTTAAAGAAAAAAAAACAAACTATCATACAAAAAGGTATTTAAGTGTATATGAAAACCAATGGGTCTATAGAAGGAGAGACTGAATTCTGGGAGAAAATGGTAGTGTTTTGAGTTGAGTCTGAAGCTGAACTAGCAGCAGATCACAATGAAGATAAAAGAAGGAGCCATGCCTATGAAAAGGTAGACAGGCATGAAAGAGTTGGCTGCAGAGTAAACACATGGAGAAAAGGAATGAGAAGTGAGATTGGCATCACACTATGAAAGATCTTGGATATCGCATAATGAATTTATAAAGCAGCTCTCCTGCTTCACATCACTAGGTAAACTCCTATAAAGATAATACTGTCAGCACAGCCAACAATAAATTCAGTGGTTCTAACCTGATGAATCACACTCCATCACGGCCATGCACTTTTAATATTCCTGGTTATAATAAGGTTCTTCTGATGTTGGTGAGTGTTCCTGAGATAACTGCATTCTCTTTTTGACTTTGCCTCTCTTCCCTCTTCAATGTCTACTACCATCCTCAGATGCCCTCTTTCTAGCTGACTTTGGCTTAGTACAGAGGCATGATTTCCTGTTCTTGTCCAGCCTCACACTCCTCATTGCCAGCTGAGATTACTAAAAGCAGACAAAAACAATGGTCTCTCTGGAAGACTAAGTATCTGCCAACAACAATTTGGGAATAGAACATTGTTTCAGAGCCATTCTACAATGGTAATTTCACAAACAAAAGCTGACAAAAAATCACCAAAAAAGGTTTGCCAGCTTGGACCTCACAGCACTATAACTTCATTTGGAACACCTTTAAAAAGAATGATATAATCCTGTAAACAAATACTGTAAGCAATTCACTGGGGAGTGGTGGTGGCTGGTTTATGGTTGAGAATTCCATCTTTAGACTAATATATGTGAAGAACCTATAAACCAGGTAGGAAATTTTGGCCCAAAAGTTTTCAATCCTCAAAAATATTTAGGAAAACAAAAAGAAAATCAGTATTCCACATAAATCATATGTATTGTCTTTTTATCATCACTTACAGGGATACATTTTTGTAAGTATGAATAACTTGTTAAATGAGGTATAGGTGGTGGTATGCTAGTACATGTTTAACAGCTGGCCCTCTAACTTTCCTATGAAGCCTGATATGCAACACTGGCTGGTTTCTGTGGTATAAATACTCCTCAACTGTCAATTTTCAGCTATAAACACAGCATCACTGAGTGAAGGAGTAGGAAACAAATGCAGGTAATTAGATCTCCAGAGCTAGTTCCAGTAAAACACTGCATCTAAGGGATACAAGAATATTTTCAGGCTCCAAGATAACATTATATTCCCAAGTCTTGCTGCAGCTTTTCTTATATTTTGAAAGATAATGTCATTGATTGTGCTACCTGGCACTTGGGAACTAACTGGAATGTTGTAGCACCTTTAGAACCTAAAATCGTTCTTTTCTTTGGTCACCAGAGCTGTACCAGAAGAGTTATTAACACAGCAGGCCTGACTGCTATCCATTATAATTTTTGCCCTTGATGGGCTCCTGGAAATGTGAATTTCAGGAGGGTTCCTACAGCACTAATTGATAAGAGTAGTTCACTATGTCTAAACTATTTCTGTGAAAAATATAGTTCATAATGAACATCTGTTTTCCTTCTGAGATTCTGGAATTTTGGTATGTGCCAGGCAGGTGCTTAAGAAGCCAGTGCAAATAAATCCCTTGGCATTGAGTCTAATGAGCTTCACGATAGACAATATTTCACCAGTGCTGTCACACCTCATTGGTGAGGGAATTAAGCACGTCCTAAATGACTCCACTGGGAGAAGACTCCTAGGAGCTTGTGCCTGGTTTCTTCTGGATGTCACCCATGTGCCCTTTCCCTTTGCAGACTTTGCTTTGTATACTTTCACTGTAACCATGCTGAATCCTGTGACTCCTCGTAAGAGCTTTCAATATGCTGAGTCCTGTGAATTCTCATAGCAAATCACCAAACTTGGGGAGGTTTTGGGAACCTTGACAAAGAATATAAATAATTTCTTCAGAAACTTATTTGCCATGCACAATATCACCTCACAAAAAAAGGGGGCAAAAATGGGATAAAGGAAAAATAATAAATCTTGCCTTTTGACAGTAATAAAAATTTCCATCACTTCTAGTCTATATAACACAAGTTGTTTGGAAATGTCATCAACAGTGAATATGACAGTTTAATTCCTTTTCAGGACAAGATTTAGAAAGGTATTCTTTACCTTGGGGTGAATCTCTTTAGTATTTAAACCCACAGTGTCTGGTTCACTAGTACAACTTACTTATATATCCACTAGCAACTGGTACTATATATTTTAAACTGGATCAGTGGGGTAACTAACCATGTAATTATCATCCAAACTGGGTCACTAAAAATAAGAGGGGGTACTATGCATAATCATGACAGAATAGCAGCTTGATTGCATGTTTGATCAATTTCAGACTTCAGAAGTTGTTAAAAATATTCAATTTCTTCATATTTGGCATTAGTGGTTGGTGCATGAATTTGAGTAATAATGGCCATGTTAACTGGACTTCCTTGTAGGCATATGGGTAACATCCTATCACTGTACTTCAGGATGAATCTTGAAATAATTTTTTTGACAGTGAATGCCACACCATTCCTCTTTAATTTGTCATTATCAGCATATGTTTGCCTGATTCAAAATGGCCAATACCAGTCCATTTCAGCTCACTTTTGGCTAGGACATTGATCTTTATGTATTCCATTTCATTTTTGATGACTTCTAATTTTCCTAGATCCATACTTGGTACATTCATGTTCCTATTATTAATAGATGTTTGTAACTGTCACTTCTCATTTTGAGTTATGCTACATTAGTAAAGAAAGGTCCCAAAAGCTTTGCACCATCCATGTCATTAAAGTTGACTCTACTTTGAGGAGGCAACTCTTCCCCAGTCGTATTGTGAGTGCTTTTCACCCTGAAGGGCTCATCTTCTGGCACTGTTTCATAAAATACTCTGCTGCTATTCATCAGGTTTTCAGTGGCCATTTTCTTCAGAAGCAGACTACCATGTTCTTCTTCCTAGTGTGTTTTAGTCTAGAAGCTCCGGTGACAACCATCCACCATGGTACTGAAATAACAGTGGTACAGCTGGTACTTGAAAGAACAGTGCCACAGCTTCCAGCATCACAGCAACCTGCAAGCCACCATGGTATCACAAACTGGCAGATGAATGGTGGTGGTGGTAGGTAGAAAAACAAACTATGGATTTTGAAAAGAAATCCTTTTCCTCTGTATTCTAATTATAAAGTAATAATTATTCATTTATTTTAACTTTATTCTTTATTCATTTTAACAAAGAAATGCAAAGATGATAAGAATGACTTGAAATCCTACCTGCCACTGCAGACATTTGGATTTGTACTACACACACATGCACGTGTGTCCACAAGTATGTGCACACATGCTTACTTTAAAACAAACCTGGGATTAATATAGTACACCCTGATTTAGACCCATTTTCCCCCCAAGTAATCTAGTGAATATTTTCCAATGCATTTAAGTGATTTTCCAAATAAAAAAAGTGTTAACAGCCGTAGCACATTCCATTTTATGGTTAAACTATATTTGTGTATTTACTACAATCATTTTTTGGTGCCATTTCTGATGTTCTAAATTGTTTTCATTGTGAATAACTCTTGGATCAATTTATTTACACAAACTATTTTTGTGCTCATCTCTGAAAATTTCTTTTGAGTAACCTCCTACTAAGAGAAATAATCTCAGTGGTTTTTCACATTAAAATTGTTGAAATATGAAGTCAAGTTTACCTCAAGGATGACTGAATCATTTTTATCCTCCCACTAGGAAAGAAAAAGTGTGCCCAGTTTCCCATACCTTTACTAACAATGGATATTACCTTTTAAAGAATTAAAAATAGCATCTTTTTTGCTATTTTAAGATTATTATTTTTAGCTTAATTATTTTTTTAACACGTGATATTTAAATAGAAAATATTTATTATAGTTTATATTTCTTCTTTGATGAATTGCCTACTATGTCCTCAACCCATTTCCCTATTGAGGCCTTTATTTTTTTCACAATGGTTTATGAATATTTCTTTTATATAAGAAATAGTATCCCTGTGTCATATGTTATAAAAATTTCCTATAGCTTTGCCTTTTAATTTTGGTCAGTACCTTTTCAAATCAACAAATTATTTATTTCTTTGCATTTAGGTTTTTCTACATTTCCTTTATAACTTCCTCCTTTTAGGTTTGGAAAGGATTTCTACATCCATCCACATAGTAAATATTATTTATTTTCTTGTAATGTAAAGCCTATAATCTAGAGTACTTTGTTTCCAATTATGTTTATTCAAATAATCTGTTTAATTAATGGTCTTGGAGTTTTATCAACACAAGTTAACCCTTCAATTCATTCTTAGAAATGGGCAGTCACTTATTTTCCAGAAGCAAGAAGAACAAGACATGAGCGGCATGGGGGAGAAGACAGAGAGGAGTCTTTTTTTTCTTTTTCTTTTTTTTAAATTTTTATTAATTTACAGAGCAGAGTTTGTTTTACATTCAACATTACACGTACATTTAGTTTCACTCCCCATTTATCATCCCCAACCCTAACCCAGTCTACTCCCCTATCTGCCCAGTAAACCCCACCCCTCCATACCTCTCATAGTTATGCACCCCTGTATGTCCTGCATTTCCTCCCTGTGAATGTTGCCCCTTTGGTGCCCTGTGGTTGTTTGTTCCAAGGGATGCATTTCCATAGAGTATGTGGATGTGTCACCCTGGGTTGAGCAGTCTGCGTGGACATCTTGTTTACTACTGGGCTGAGAGCCAGCCCCTGGGATTGAGTTTTAGTCCAGGCCCAGAATATATGTATCCCATGGCCATAGTATTGGGGGTCCCACCAGACTCTATCCAACCAGTAATTCTGATCATTATTGAGTTTTTGGATTTTCTTCTGCATTTTTCTTCCCACTCTATCCAGGATCTCCAGATTTGATCCTATCCTGAGTTGTGTTGTCACTGGTAGCTGGGCACCACCTAGTTCTTCTAGTCTTGAGGGCCATTGTGTCCTAGGGTTGATTGCTTCCAATTGCCCTTGTTTTTTTTTTTGCACTCTTCTCCGTTTTCAATGATAGGAGACCATTAGCTGCATCTTAGATGGCCTCCTGAATGCTTTTAAGACCCCAGTTACTACTCACCAATGTAGGATGAGGAACAAGACTTTCATTGTGCCAATTGACTGTGGTGTCCCCCAGTACTATGGTCCTGAGTTGGTAGATCTGTTGGATCTCTCTCCCACAATGTCTGGCTGTGAGGGATTACTCTATGTCTGTCTTCTGTTGTTTCTGTAAGGGTTGTGGTTACTTTGTTTCACTGGTATCTGTGCAAGATTAGCCTCTGCTGAATGTATCCTTGGTCTAGAGTATAATCCAGTTCACTGACTTCCATATGATCTTTTGAGATGTTTATGTATTTATCTGTACCCTGGTGTTGGGTGTTAATGGTAATGCAGTATTGTGGATATACTGGTTGGTATTAGCATCTGATGTCTGTACCTTATGTGCACAATTCGGTGTCCTCCCTTTTCCTAATGTTATCATGGTGGTCACAGAGTCTTTCTATATCATCCCTCCCCTACCCACATCAGCATGTGGCCCCTAACTAGCCCAAAATTAAACCAAGTTAATAAGCTTGGTGCTGAGACATGCCAGTGCATCTCTGGCAAGGAACAGATGACTCTGAATACCATGGCAAAGAATTAAAGAAGTTTGTGGCAGCATTTTCCTATGATGTATATGATTACTAGATAGATAGAGGAAAAGAAGCCCATTATCTACCTAACATGGCCCTGGGAGCTGCTTTGATAGAATTTGTTGCATTGTTTTATGTTGTTGTTGTTGTTCTTAGAGGCTGTGCTCCCTAGAAAAGAAAGGTGTGCCTCTGTATATGTGTGTGAGAGTGTTTGAGATGGGGTTGGTGGAGATATTTGAAAAATGTTAGTCTCAGAAACCATGTTATGGGCTGTCCCACTCTCCAACTAAGTATAGAACTGTAACAAATATTCTGTTCTACCACTGCCTACAGGATTTAGAGCCACTAATAAGGAAAGTATTAAATATTGAAGTAGGTTGTCAGGGAAAATTGAAACTTATCCTCTGGAGGACTTTATAATTAAGATAAAGTTATCATTTGCTTGAGATGGTTTAAACAGGGTCTTGTCATGAGATTGGTCTCTCATATTCACCAAGAACCTGATAAACTTATAACTCTTTGGGGATTCTAAACATCACCCTTAGTTTTGAGACAACCAGTTTTTAAAATGACATCTGGCCACAACCCTCAGCAGATGATGCTTTACTTGTGATAATTAGAGCAGTGTTTTTCCACATGACTACATCTACACCCCATATTCTTTGATTTATTCTAGGGCAATGTTTAAATAGAGATATAAGCATTTAAGACATTTGTAATATGTGAATATAATATTAAATTACAATAAGCAGTGGCAATGCTTGATAAATTTTTCTCCATCTCACTTTAGCCAGAAAAGTCTTGTGTAAGTACATAATTGTATATTAAATTATTTTAATAGCATGTGTTATTAACAGAAGACATAGGTTACAATGAATCAATCTTTAAATAACAAGCAAAATAATATTTCACAAAATTAAGTATTTTTTAAATCTTTAAATTAAATTCAATGAGAATATAAGAATGTGGAAAAAAGGAATCAGAGGCAAAAATAACCCTTTCATGTCTTTCTGATGCTGTGCAACTCTTGTAATGCTCTAACTCATCAAGAAGACTTGTGACTGAACTTGGAAATAGGAGAAATAAGAAAAGGAACAAGGAGAGTGGAAGACCAATTTGAATTTGAAAAGTTGTTCAGGAAGAGAAGTAGCTTTGCCAGAAGGAGCAGGTTGAGACGTTTAAAAGAGTTTCATGATTGTGATACCAAAAAGTACACAGAAAGGAGAGACTTAAGTAGATTCAACATGGTACCAGCTTCCTTATGAAGGTCTGGATAATATTCATGAGCTCCAAGGTAAACTGCTAATAACCCCAACTCAAAGCTGCTATGGTGGGAGGAAAGTATGTGGGGTGTTGCAAGATTTTCTTGCTAAGGTAATAATGGGAGTTGTTGGGTGGTGTAAATGATTAAGTATGAAACCACTAGCAGAAAAGTTGGCTCCAACCCACACAGAAGGTCTTTGGAGGAGAGGCATGGAAATCTACTTCTGAAAGTACAGACCAGAAAGATTAGTACTACCATGAACACATGGGCTCACCATGAGTTGGAGTTGACTCAACAACTCCTAATGACAAGAACAACAATACAGGGATACTGGTAAGGACATCTTTTTTTTGCACATTCCGTCACTGAAACTGGAACTAACTACTTACTGTTGTTAGGTGCCATGGAGTTGAATCTGACTTACAGTGACCCCAACTGACAGAGTAGAATTGCCCTATGGGGTTTTCAATGCATAAGGCATTTGACTGCTAACCAGAAGGCTGGTGGTTCAAACCCACCAGCCACTCCTAAGAAGGAAGACTGGACAATCTACTTTTTAGAGATACCACCTCAGAAACCCAAGGAGGGGTCACTCTAAGTCAGAACCCAGAAACCAGCAGTGAGTTTGGTTTTGGCTTTAATCTTTATGGGAGCAGATTATCTGGTCTTTCTCTCACAGAGGCACTGGGTGGGTTCTAATCACCAACCTTTTGGTTAGCAGCTGAGAGTTAACACATTAGCAGCCATTGCACCACCAGGGTTCGTTAGTGGAACTACATTTGTTGTTGTTATTTGCCGTCGAGTCGGACCCGATTCATAGCGACCCCTCCTTGGGTTTCCGAGGCAGTATCATTATGGAAGTAGATTGCCCAACCTTCCTTTCTTGGAGTGGCTGGTGGGTTTGAACCTCCAGCCTTCTGGTTAGCAGTCAAGTGCCTCAGGCACTACGCTACCAGAGCTCCTAGAACTACATTGTTGTTGTTGTTTTTTGCCGTCGAGTCCCGACTCATAGCGACCCCTCCTTGGGTTTCCGAGGCAGTATCACTACGGAAGTAGGATTGCCCAACCTTCCTTCCGAGGAG